CACACACACACACACACCCACACCCACACCCACACACACACACTCCTGTCTCAGATTCTTGGCATGACTTCCTCGCGGTAAAAAAGGAAACATACCCCCCCTCTCAGTTCCCATAATCCCCTGCTGCCTGTGTGCCATCCCTGACCCTCAGTAGCTCAGACGCTCTGAGACGAGCTCGTGTTCAGGTTGTGATTGTCGCTCTGTGCTCGTCGCTCTGTGCTCGTCGCTCTGTGCTCGTCGCTCTGACAGAGCAGAGACTGAGTTTATCTTCTGAACCGTCAGGATAGAGTTGATCCGTCAGTGTGAGACGTCGGCGGCCCCTCGGCGGAGCTGCTCCTCTCATTATGCCTCAGTGACGGTGGGGCTGCAGGGCCCCTCGTCACAGCCCCTCGTCATGTCTAATGCTGGTGTCCGTGGTTATCGCACTATCTCGCAGCACCTGAACGACCTGAAGAAGGAGAACTTCAGCCTGAAGCTCCGGATCTACTTCCTGGAGGAGAAGATCCAGCAGAAGTTTGAGGAGAGCAGCAATGACGTGCACAAGAGGGTGAGTGTGAAACTCCGTCTGTGAAGGGATGAACTGTTCACGTGCACGGCTTGGTGTTTGTCTCTGTGGTGCCCCCCCCCCATGAACTTTGACCTTTCTATAGATTCTTCCACTGAGAACAAACAACAGAAGAATTTCCATCACAACTGAACTGAATGAAAACATCCGTTCAGTTTGTTTTATTTATAGACTTTAATTAAAGATGGACGACATGACAGCTCCAAAAACTGAAGCCAAATCATCCTGATCGCCCCCTGGTGGCGGGCTGCAGTATAGGTCATAAACCCCGCCTCCTCCATGTTAGCAGATGGGACCAAACAAACTAAAAATCAAAGTAGACGTTAAATAAATGTTTGTGAAAGATGTTTCAGCTCGTTCTCATCTCACTGACTTTTATTCAATTGTTTCTGATCAGTTTGGTTTTAATTAGTTATTGATAATATAAAAACAAGACGTCATGATTGACAGCTGACACTGACTCCTGATTGGGTCGCACCTCAGCTGCTACTTCACAGACTCTGACTCCACATGATGTCAAAAGCATCAGACGCAGCCGAGCGCCCGTAGCTGAGACATTCTGGCTTCATCTCTGGACAAAGGGAGAAAGTGGAGCCACGTCGTCCGTCTTTAAAATCCATGGTTTCATGGTGTTTTAGCAAAATTACAAAACGAGATGATAATGAATCAACCAGGAAACATAACAGAGATGCAAGCATGAACTTCAAATCAGAGGAGAGAGCGTCATGTCTGATTTATTTCTACTAGATTCATGAATTATTCTCTGAGTGAATCACAAGAAAGAAATTGACATAAAATGTCCTTGAGTTCTTCTCTGACCCGTGCTGCATCCTTCCACCATGTGGGCGTTGTTTTCTTTATTCTTCCTGTATTTGCATGTGTTGAGACGTTTTGCAGCTCATCACACTGATGAAGTTGTTTTCTTAATTTGTGCTTTTTCTACTTGTGTCTTCTGAACGAGCTCTCCACCGCAGTGTTAAACATTCTGTGATTCAAACTTTTCTGTGTTCATGTTGGAATCAGCTGCAGACGCCAGGGTTTGTGTTTGTTTGTCTGTTTGTCAGCAGGGTTACACAACAACGACTGGACGGATTTAACACAACTTGGTGGAGAGATGTGGAATCAGTCAGGAGAGATGTTGATAAAAACACGTCGAGACCACTGATATTTATGAGGCCGTGTAATTTAGTGCAGATCCACATGAACAGAGCTGGTGAATTTAAATGTGGTTTCACCAGGAGACTGTTACATGAGCTCTGCTGACTGATTCTCTAGTTCTCCTCTAAGTGAATTCAGATCTGAACGTTTCCTTTAATGAGAAAAAAAACACTTTTCAAACCATCTCTTGAATTCTCTGCGCTGCCTCGTCGACGCCAACAGTCGCTGCAGCACAGATCTGCTTGTGTTCGCTGGCTCTGCAGAAACTGTCTGACCTGTTTTCCATCGACGACCCGATGACCCACATTGCGTTAGAGCCTTCGGGCCTACACGCATTGTATGTTTGCATGCATGCATGCACACCACCAGTAACTGTGTGCATGCAGACACGTCGGTGTCAGCAGAGACTCGTCCCCACACCTGTGTCAGTATGTCAGTAATCTGATCCGCTGCACTTGGATGTGAAGATCGCTGCTGTGATGCACAGAAAAATAAATCCCTGCACACGAGCGACCGGTACCAGTTCGAGCCGGTTCTCCTGCCTCGGAGCCAGGAGTTAAAAGCGGTGTTGTTGCTGGGTGCAGGGTTTGACAGATTCAGCAGCCGCTCATATCCCACCTGCTATTTATACATCCATTGAGATCCAGGCGGCACGTGAGAGTGTGGAAACTCACTCTGAGTCGAGGAGAGTTTCTCTGCAGCTCTGTGCAGAACAAGAACAAGCTTTTCTGCTTGAGATGAGTTGGGTTCATAATGTTTGGATAGTTTTTGGATTGTTGGTTTTTCATCTCAAACATACAGACGCTGTTTTCCTCTGCTGAGTTCATGACGTGTTTCTGCTCGCCAGAGAATCAAGCACAATATTATCCTGCTGGACTCAGGCTGTGCAGAGAGCAGCAGCTGTGACACGTGATCTGATTGTGTGACAGTAAACACAGTGTTGTTGCTCATTTCTCTGTGAACACAAAGTTTCTCTTCTGTCAAAACTCACAGTTTAAAGAACTGTGTCACTTTAACTGAACAACAGCGCCCCCTGCAGCCACACATGATAAATCCCCTGTCCAAGCACTGATGTGGTTTTCGAGTAGAATAGAAACTAAAGTTGAGCTCAAACAGAACTATATGCTGGGTATTACCCATGATCCTCTGCTTCCTGAACTAGAAGAGCTGCTTCTGAAACAAATCCACCAAACTGTTCAGAGTTCTTCATGTTTTAAAGTTTCCTGCAGAACGTTGGAGAGAAACTCTGGTTGTTAATAACGTCAGTGTTTTGAACTGATCTCAGTTCAGCTTCACTCTTCAACCGTCTCCATGTTCACACTCAAACATAAACTTTAATCAAGCTGATGGTTTAAGGTTAAAAAGTTGCAGCGTTGATTTAAAGCATTGTTTATATCGTAGTTAAAAGCCAACATGTTCTTTTTAAATGCTAAAATCAGTCATATCCTGTATTTACTTCTTTAATCTAAACTTTCTTCTTTCATCTTCAACTTTGCTCATTTTCTTTTTCTCGGTGATTTTCTGCTGCAGAACATCGAGCTGAAGGTCGAGGTCGAGAGCCTGAAGAAGGAGCTTGAGGACAAACAGCAGCTTCTGGACGAAGCTCTGTGAGTATTTCTCTTCTTCCTGCTCAGGGTTTTTTTTTTTTTCACACACATGGTGACAGAAGTTCTTGTGGTGTTTAAAGGTCACGAGCGTCCAAATCACTCATCCACACTTTATTATGTCTCTATAACAGACGTGGAGAAATACACAAATACACACGTGTGAAAGCAGCTTCAAATATTCAGCCTCTTGTGCTGCACAGATTTGTTGAAACGCCTTCAGGGAGATTTGCCTGCGAACTACAAAAACACTCTTTTCAACGGCAGTTTGATTATTTCCCATGAGCCCCTCAGTGCATCAGAGCCCGGTCGCCCTCAGGACGCAGCGGCCTTTCATCACACGCGAGCCCGCCGGTCTGTAGCCTCAGCTCGCTATCACAACACGGACTAAGCCCCGAGGAATTCCATGTATGGACTGGGCTGCTTTTGAAGAGGCTGAAGTGACCGTGCTCTGGTGGACGAAGAGGGGATGAGGATGAGGAGGTGACGGAGGGGTGAGGGTTTGTTTTGAAGGGGGAGGAGAGTAAAGGGCAGGAGGTTGTTTGCTGAGTCGGGAACAATTTGAGCTGCAGCACCTGTCTCTCTCTGTATCACCGTCCTCGGCCAATCAGCAGCAAGAGTCTGCAAAACACACAGAACGTCCAGTCGCAGGATTCTCAGAGACACTTTTCAAACTCCCAGAAACGAACGGAGACATCGTCAGGTCGATCGTTTCTCTTCGGTTCTTTACGTGATCTCATTCATTTCAGTCAAGCTGAGGATTTACCTCGCCACCCCGCAGGCTCAGATTACCCATAATCCTGCTGTGGTTAAATTCGTCCCTCGTGTTGATGGATGCATGAGTCAAGTTTAGGCTTCAGATTAAAGATGAAACTAGATATTTAAAACTTTTATGCATTGAAAATGTTTTCATGTTCTAATGTTCCGGAAACAAGTTTTAACAAAAAGTTCAGATTTTCTTGTTTAGAAACATTTTCATTTAATATTTGACTTTTTATCCATTTAACTTGTCGTTTTTCGCCGTTAGTCAGTTTTTTACTTGTAAATAACTTTATTATAATAAGTTTCACTTTCATCTGGCGACTCCACACGCCGTGAACAGAACACGCGTGTGGTCACTAACGCTGTCACGCTAAACCCCTGTTACACGTACGCTAAGTCAAACTGACCTTTGACTGATTATTTTCCTAATAGATGGATGTAGGACCGACATCATTAGCTCAGCAACACAGCGTCATTATGCTCTGAGGACAGTGATTGGTCCAATCAGTCACTTTAACGTTTGTCAAAACAGTGAGAAGCAGAGTGAACGTGTCCGAGACGTTCTCCCTGACTCTCGGTGCCGTGCTGGTTCATAAATAAACTCTGTGGCCACAGTTTATCAGTGGAGCTATTAACGGAGCCTGGCTGAGAGAAGTGAGGAGTCTGTGGACGAGGCCGAGAGCCGGAGCGGCGACAGCTTCAGTAATCAGCTCGCTCCTCAGAGGAGTTTCCTCCTCTTTTTCTCCTCCGCTCCTTTTTGAATATTTCACAAATCTGCAAAACACGTTTTGAAACGAAAGAAATTAGAGAATGGGACAAGAAATATACGGTTTCTAGTTTTTATGTGTGTGTGGTGGCGACACCCAGTGGCCGGAGGCATTATGTTTTTGGGAGCTACGTTCATGTCATCGTTGTGAACACGATATCACAACAACTCCTCGAGGGAGTCGCTTCACGTTCGGTACAAATGTTCAGTTGGACTCAAAAACGAACTGATTCGATTTTGGTGGTGGGACTTGTGAACGCAACGTCTCAGGAACAATTTCTTCAGATTCGTTCACCTGGAGTTTGGTGAGAGGTCACGTGACCTCACAGAACATGTTGTGGCCTCATGAGGACGATATATCACGTCTGTCTGCAGAGAGTTTCTCTACGTTTTGACCAGTTGTCACTTGGACTCAAAGATAAACTGTTTATATTTCAGGGGTCAGAGGTCACATGGAGTGAAATGGAGGCCTATATGAAAACAACCACAGGGTGGTGTTTCCCCTTAGTTTGGATTTAAAGCACTTTGAGAAGACGTGTTACCATGACAACTCGTTGATAAAGGCAGACTCAAGAAGACGGTCCAATAAAACTCATTCTGCCTCTAACGTGCACTCACACTGTGCTTTCTCTCTTTTTCAATAACGTCTTCTCTCCGACCTCGCAGGCTGACGGCCGACAGCCTCTCCGATCAGACTGAGGCGGAGCTACAGCGTCGTCTGGCCGAGCGGCAGGAGGAGATCAGCCACATGCAAGAAATCCTGGAAACCAAAGTTCAGCTGCTGCAAGAGGTGGAGACTCCCTCTGACCTCTGACCTCACGTTTGTAAAAAGATCACAGTTACCAGCTTTGTGTCTCTTCTGTCCGCGTTGCGTTCAGGAGGCGGAGCTGGCGCGAAGCGAGGCTGAGCGAATGGCCTCGCTGGCGGACGCTGAGTCGCAGCGATGTCTGGCTCTGGAGAGAGAGAGGATGGAGAGGATGGAGGAGAGCGGAGGATCAGTGTTTACCCAGCAGGCCCTGGCTGACAAAGACAGGTTAACAACTTATTGAAAAAGAAGCGTAAAGGAGCTCGTTAAGTAAATCCTGTGTCTTTGAATAAAGATGAACGATGAATGAACAAGCTTTAACTAAAGTTAGCAAGTTAGACGACAGACTGCAGACGACAGCTTTAACATGTGCTCTCTCTCTCTCAGGGTGATCGAGGAATTGACACAACAGAAACATTCGCTGGAGGTCAAAGTTCACCACCGCAGAGGACGTGAGGTATTTTTCATTGCATCTAATCCTCTTCTGCATTTCTGCACCAAACAATCACATTAACGTCCTGAGGGCTCCGATCACACGTGGTCAATTCTCCCTCATAACCGGGTTCATGCTTCTGCAGCTGAGCAGAGTCCTGACCCAGAGGGTCACCTCCCCAAAGATTTAAGTACACGACACAGAATGCTAGTGTGTGAAGTTGAAAAGGAAAAGAATGAGATTCTGTGAGATAGAAGTGTTTTTACTTCTTAGCTTGTTACTGTAGATGCAGTTATGACCTTCAAGTAAATCTCCAGTGGCGTGAGGCAGGCGCAGGATACATTCTCCTCCTCCCTCTCATCTCTATTCTGAGTGTTGTGGCTCAGAGTCGAGTGACTGAACGATATCTAACACATGTGGGTCAGTGGAGCTCTGGCAGAGCAGTGAAAACTGAAACACGTGCACGTTACTGAACGAGACCCTGTGAGGTTATTTTAGAGATCAGGAGAATAACTGAGAACTCCACTGCAGAGGAGTTATTCTGGGTTTTAATAACCTGATACAGCTGCTGATCTGTATAAATGTGGGTTTGACGTGGAACATATGAATAAAAAATAAACCTGAGAGGGATTTGATCTGGAAGAGACAAGGTGAGGAGGGTGAGGAGGGTGAGGAGGGTGAGGAGGGTGAGGAGGGTGAGGGCTGCACAAAACAAACAAAAGCAAATGACTTTCAGTCCTACAGGAGCTTTAAGTTTCTTACTTCAAATTTTGATTTACATGTGACACAAACTTTCTCCCCACAGAGTCCGAACGATGAAGTTCACACACAGATGCA